CAAGCACCGCCGAGCGTCTTGTCTAGTGGCTGGAGATCCCTGCCCCGTGACAGAAACCCTCTTGCACCGGACAAGCCTCGCTACACCATTTCAAAAGGGAGAACAGTTCACATCAGGCATCGCTGAAGCTGGGGGAATGTCTCCTGATTGCACAGGGAAAAGTAACACCACTGGAAACAGCCCCAGTCCCATCGGGACCAAAACCTCTGGGAGGGGTACCATAGCAGCCAAGTCGCATTTCCTTCCTGTCCAGAGTTTTGTCTAACAGCTACAGTTAAAGGAAAACATCAGCTTTTAAATAACACTGGATGCTCTGTGGCCACCCAACTCACAGCCCTGTACCGGTTCCTCTCATTTCTTTTTTCATTTGTTCAATCTTTCAGTATAAAGTTACCCAGTGCCTATTTTTAATTATTTCAGCTTGTTCCGAGCTACATTTCACTAGCTCGTACAGCTCACAACATCACAGCTGTGACAGAAATCCACTGAGGTTTGCAGCTGGCCTTTATAATGACATTGCCAATCTGTAATTCACTCTCAAGTACAGAGCTGCCCACAAGCTGCGCCCGATACATCCAACTCACTTTGCTTCTTTCAAAATACTTGATAGTATTTTAAAAGGAAACATTAGCATTTCCACATGGTTGCTCTACAGCTGACCAACCAACTCCCCTCTCTGAAATATAACTTAACCCTAGGGACCACCCTGGGATCCTAACACTCTACAGCGGATCACAGGAAAGCAGCCTCCAACATGAGAAAAGCTTCCCGTTTGACTAAGAATTGCCAAGACTCTGAGAGAACCTTCACAGTTGGTCTCAGACTCTAGGGAATTCCCGTGGACAACTTTTGCTAGTGAAGCTGCAGAGAACACACCAACTTCATTTCATTTACTATTGAGCGAAGTATCTCCAATTTGACTCTAGCTTAGACTTTACCGCAGGGACGGTTATTACACCCTCCCAGGAACAAACCGGCCACTTTTCAACCCACCTCAAGGCAGGACTTTGCAGCTTCCCACACAGCCACTTAAGGAGAATCCTACAGCCACAAATACCTTATTCTCGCTGGTGGATTTTCCAGTCAGGCAGGGAGACTTGGTCCTGGGGCTGGGCCATTCCTCCCCGATCAGAGACGTTCGCAGAGAGACCTTGTTCACCTGCTGGACGTACAGGAACAGCAGGAACTGCAGAGTGTCTGCCGACAGCTAGCCGAGAGGGGAGAAAAACAGGCGTTAGGATGGGCTGGGCGCTCCCCACGCCCGCCCGGCCCGGGATGGGGCTCCTGCCTTGCTCCGCTCCCGCTCCAG